AAAAAATAGCCCGGCAGCAAAAAAAAACATACAAAAGTCACTTTCAAGTGGTGAATGATAAAAAACGTGGAAAGGAAAAAACAACAAAAGGAAAATTCGATAAAAGAATAACGGCAACAAAAATCAGTCTGTCTACAAATCAAGTGGTTTGGATTTCCATACCCCGCTAGTCCACTATAGGAGAATTTACATCAGTATGTGGTATACACCATAAAATAGACTTAATTGGAACACAAGGACATCAACACAAAAATAAAACAGAAAACGAAGCCGGCAACGGGATACGGAACTTTTTAGGACACAACAACGGAAAATATCATATGTACATACAAGAAGTTAATAGAACGCAATGGGATTCATTAACAAATGAAAAACACATTAGGACGGCTATGGTTGCGTACGACAATAAATCTATGAACAAACGAATTAGAGTGACTTCTTCTAAAGCAATCAATGAAGTTTCTTATTGGAACTTCCTGACGATAAAAGTAATGATTGCGGAATATTGTAACGATAACTGTTATTAAAAGGAATTCAAGCTGAAAACTGTAACGATAAGCGTTATTTTAAGGAATACGAGCAGATAACCGATATCAAAAAAAATACACTGCGATACCTGTTACGATATCCATTATTTAAAAAAGAATGCAAGCTAAGGAATGGTAAAAACCTTTGGACAAACATTTACTGTATTTAGTATGTTTAATGAATGTCTGAGAAAGATGATAACTGTGCGTACTAAAACGAAACGCATGTTTAAAACTGTCACAATTACCATTATTCGAAAAAAAAAGATAGAATAAATTGGTCACGATAATCGTGATATAGAAACACATGTTGAAAAACTGTATCGATAACCATCATTTAAAAAAAGCAAAAAGACTTCAGTCATTGTCACGATAACCGTAATGACAAAACGCATGTTGAAAACTCTTACGATAACCATAATGTAAATAAATGCATGTTGAAAACTGTCACGAAAACCATTATTTAAAGAAAAGCACGTTGAAAACTGTCATGATCACCATTATTTAAAGCAACGCATGTTGAAAACTGTCATGATCACCATTATTTAAAGGAACACATGTTGAAAAATTGTCACGATAACCATAATTTCAAGAAACGCATGTTAAAAACTGTCACGATAACCATTATTTCAAGAAAAGCATGTTGAAAAATTGTCACGATAACCATTATTTAATGAAAAGTATGTTGAAAAAATTGTTACGATAACCATAACCATTATTTAATGAAAAGTATGTTAAAAATTGTCACGATAACCATTATTTCAAGAAAAGTATGTTGAAAAATTGTCACGATAACCATTATTTCAAGAAAAGTTTGTTGAAAAATTGTCACGATAACCATTATTTCAAGAAAAGTATGTGGAAAAATTGTCACGATAACCATTATTTCAAGAAAAGCATGTTGGAAAATTGTCACGATAACCATTATTTAATGAAAAGTATGTTGAAAAAATTGTTACGATAACCATTATTTAATGAAAAGTATGTTGAAAAATTGTCACGATAACCATTAATTAATGAAAAGTATGTTGAAAAAATTGTTACGATAACCATTATTTAAAAAAGCATGTTGAAAAACTGTCACGATAACCATTTTGTAATGAAAAGCATGTTGAAAAATTGTCACGATAACCATTATTTAAAGAAAAGAATGTTGAAAAATTGTCACGATAACCATTATTTAATGAAAAGCATGCTGAAAACTGTTACGATAACCTTGATTTAGACAACGATATTGGAATTTCCGACGACAACCTTTATTAAAAAGACGTGCAAGAATAACCGTTATTACCACTTAACTACGCAGTGATCTCCCCTTATAAGTATAATCTGTCATCGGAGGCAATCACTGTTAGGAGTTTGCGTTATTACAAGATTTAAAGAAATCTGTCAGGGGCAAGTCGTTGTTTCCTGGACACTCACTGCTCAGTACTGGTTTGTTCCAGGAACGGATCCGAAAGTGCATGTGTCTACAGATAAGCTTATAGCTTCCTACACAATTGAACTAGAAAAAATACTGTATGAACCAAAGAAAACTGCAACGAGATCCGATACAAACAGAATAGGAAGTTATTCTTGTGGAGCAAACGGAACTTGTTAAATTCTCACTTAAGAAAGGTTTATTGTACCTCATTATAATTTTCCTTTAAAGGTCAAAATTTAAATTGAATTAATGAATATTTTATAATTGAATTTTCGGCAAATGTTACAAGTGACTGTTAGATTTTTTTATTTATAAAACTTTTCTAATTGTATTTATATATACTAAATAAATAGTTATATGTACGAAAATGTTAACATTGTCAAAGATTTTACAATAAATATACATATTGTAAACAAGCCGCTGTAAAAATCAAATATAGGATGCAGTTAAGTAATTTTTTTTCTTTTAAACTTTACATGTTTGTATCTATTGATCGTTCTTTTTTTCTTCTTCACAGAAGTTGTATTATTCTACATTTACAGTTTCATATTTACTTTTATATATGATTTACATGTATTTCAAAGAGCTCAGTTTCAACTCGTGCTTCCACAATAACTTCCCTAGTTTCTTTTATTCAAAAAAATCATATTAACTCTTCCGCGTCTGGCTAAAATAATTTATTCTAAAAAGTTTGTCATGCTATGATTTCAATGAAACAGACTATTTAAAAATATGACGACACAAGTGACTATACCTTACTTGTTAAAGCTGCATGTCTCCAGATGAGCCGGAATATTTCAAATACATGTAGATCAAACTTGAGAAAAAATGTACTAGGATTTTTAGAAAAGAGTAAGTAAAATGTTTACATGTTATGTGCAATTAATGACAGGTTTTGCAGTATTCATATTGCGTGAGTAACGCATTAAGGATTTTGTTACATATTTGGCCTCTTTTTAGTAATTTACAATTAATGTGTTTTGTAAGTTCCGTTTGCAATTACTTTCTTTTCTTTGCTCACTTCACAATATATCACTTAACAATACATTTTCAACTTTTTCGTGAAAATTAATATGAATCTGGAGGCATGTTACTTTAAAAATTTCTTTTATTTTTATATATATTGTTTGCTTGTTATTTTAGATAGATTCTAGAGTTAGATTATAGTTGTCACATACGTTTGATGGTCAGATCCTGCCCCCCCCCCCCCCCAATATTTAATATTTAAACACGAATTGGACTTCTGTTACAAATTCAAAACATTTTTTACATATATGAAAAAAATACCGTATACCATCAAGTGCTTTATTGAGACTTGTATAGAATATAACATAAAGTAGAAGTCTAATTTAGAAAATATCTAATAAATAACGACACACTTATAGCTTCTATTCAAACAATCATATAGACATGGGCGGATTATAAATAATATCCGAACTCTCAAACAATATTTAGGGGTAGTCACATGTCACGTCAATTAATGATAATGGATACACACAGAACATTTGAAAAAGACGATTAGAGAAATTATTTTGAAAATTTCAAATAAAAAGAAGAAAGAAAAAAGAAGAAAGAAGAAAAAAGATTAACTACATTGTAGTTTGTTATTTGTCCAATTCGTCTCAAAATCATACGTTTTCTGGTCCAAGCGGATTTAAAGATTTGTTGTTCTGCTTTTTAATTAAAAAAAACCACGGCGTCATTGAAAATTTCCACAGTAAAAGTCAGTTTGTTTTCGAAATTTTATTGACGAGTATTATCTTTTGCAGAAACCTTTTGGACATCAGATTGGTATATTAAATTAAAAGCACAATATGACTCAGAAATGAATGAACATTTACTTCTTTAGAAAGTTTATAACGTTTAAATAATCGCTCGAGCATCTTTGATGCTTGTTACAAATAAAATATCCCTAAATGTAAAATTAGGTGTCATTAAAGCAGCAAAATGTAGACATTGACTTCCAAACAAAATTCTAAAGCACTATAAATGTACTAATTGCCAGAAAGGAAAAGAAGTAAGACAGTTCAGATGATTGGTCATTGTTGGAAACTATAAAAGAATACCAAAACTAAAAGTCTTTTGAGAATCAAAACTGACAAAAATGACATAATAGGCCTTTAAGGTTTGGTAACACACCAAATATTAACATTAATTAATACGGCAGTATCAATAAACCGTAAACAAAACAAAACAAATGACAAAGTAAAATATATTTATTCTGTTTCATTACATAGAATCTTAGTGGGAACGAAACCTGTATATATTCTTTTATACATGACATTTTTTATATCAAAGTGTTTAAAACTATATTTCGTATGTGTTGCATAAATCATAAATCTGTATTGGAATTTGAGAAAAAGAATTGTTCCAAACTACCTGTATGAATAAAAAATGTTTTTATCCTGCTTTAAGAGTGAATGTTGCATGCATGAAAGCATTGCTAAAAAACCTATTTAAAATAGCAGCTTTATATTTTGTTTGGGAACATTTTATTCTATTAACATGTAATATTCATGTACGTAAATTAAAGCCATTTTTTTGGTTACAACTTGACCATCAGATTATGGAAACAATATTATTTTACTGATTTCTAAAATTCTGTACAAAGTTTTCATTAGATATAGCTTTATACCTTTGAATGTTGGTAAAACTTTTAAGTTCTATTTTTTATGTCTTCAATCTTTTCACCGTTTTTTTTATATCTGAGTTCAATCTAACAAACAAGAAAGAAGTTTTAGACAAAATTATGACAAATACATTTCTTGTCACCATGACCATAAAATCATGAAAATAATGGTGTATTTAAAGAGTTTTAGAACAATCAAAATTTATATCACCACTTAGGGAAAAGTTATTTCTAGAAATGACTTAACAAACCAAAACGAAATTTTCATACTACATTGCATAACAGTAAGTATTATTTTGAAATAAATAATGATCACAAGTTAAATCACCACTTAGAGAACTATTACAAAATCACTAAATATAAAAGAAATTGTGTTTTTGAATAAATTTTCACACAGAAAGGTATGTTTATATGACTTCGTTCACGTCGTTATACGTTGGACAGGTGTCGTGCCATAATTTGGCGTCTGATCAGTATTAACTTGGTCCAGTTCCCCTTGATTATCGCCCAATAAGGTTGATAAATCTCGCTCTTGATTCTTTCTTCTGCATTTCATGAAGGCTACAGTCGCTATAACAACACAAACGAGGGTTGCAACGGATGAAATGATTGCTATGGCATATGATGGAAAAGCATCTAGCGATTTACCTATATCACTATAAGTGTCAGCGTTGTCTGAATCGGTGTGACTATCATTATACAGATCATCTATTGCTGAAGTTGTTCTTTTCATGGATTCCTGTGCTTTCTTGTATTCCTTAATCTTGCTCTCCATATCTTGCATTTCCGCCATTTTCTCAAAAGCCTGCATATTTTTATACCATTTTCCGTCAACAACTATTGCAATGTCTGAATAATTTGCTGGTGGTTCTTTTGGGAGGTGAATGAATGGAGGTCGTTTCAAAACAGGGAGTTCTTGGCCGTTTTCATTAGTAACTTTGTCTGAACAGTAATCTATTTCGCAGTTTGAAGTAATTGAGACAGTTTGTTGCGCGTATCCAGTTGGGCATCTTTTCGGATAGAACGATGATGGCGTTTTGACTCCGGGTTTTGTGCCGTTTGATTTCAACCAGAGAGCAAGTGGATTTCCTGCCGAACAACTTAAGAAACCACCAAATTTCATACCCGTGACTGTGTCTTCACTTGAAACACAAACAGAGACATCTTCGACGATGTTCAATGGAAAAAATCCTTCGGGACATGATTCTGCACCAGTGACAGCATTTGGTCTAATGCTTGAATAAACACCTCCAAAGTAATATTTTTGTTCAGGTGTGTTCGAGTGATCTGATGCACACCAAAACGCTGTATACCTTCCGAAACTATAATCAGTCCAACCATGATGTGTATGTGGCCAATGTTTACTACGATGCATAGAATACTGGGAAAACGAGAAAGGAACAGATATAAGTTCAACGGCGACATATCCTTTCGGACAAGTAAAATCTTTTGTCAATGGATTTTTCTGGATATAGTGTCGGCTTTCACATAAATTTCCAGCATCCGATTGAGACATTGCACATGTCTGATAAACACCACCAAAATATTCATTGTCATTCTTGATTCCGCCGCAGACACTATTATCAACAACATTTGCCTTAATGTCGTAATGTTTATTGGTAGGGTCCATGCATCCTCGATAAGTGTTGTGCTTGTAATAACTGATAAAGGCATTCTTAACACCTTGACCAACTTTTAAGAGTGTAGCCAGTGGCAGTTCCGGTAATGTGGACGAGGAGATAAGCTCGTATACTGGAACTCCGGTTCTGTCAATAGCAACAAGCTCGTTGTCGAGGGATTTTGTCCATTCAGCACCTGTCGTGTTACTACCAAAGTAAATACCACCGTATGCTTTAACAACTGAGAATGATACATTACTATTGTACTCATTTATTGTTTCTTCCATTTTGGATTTGCTTATACCAAAGTCTATTCCACCACCAATGGTTACGCCATCAAATATTAGATTAAATGATCCACCTGCTCCAATCTGCCATTGTTTCTTTTTGACATCGTCTACAATTGAAGTTTTCGTATCAACATGGTCTTCTTTGAACAAAACAGCACCGGCATCAACACTTGTCAGTACGTGAGTTCCGAAATCTCGAATAAGTAACTGGCACTCGTAGTCACCCATGTGGTTATCATTGCGATAGTATTTCTCTGCAATTTTTAACAGCCTGTTTTTAAAGGATGGGTGAAAGTCAGCGCCAGGATCTGATATTATACGGTATCTGTTGTACCTAGCTTGAACTCTTGATATATAGGAATTCGATGTTGTCCTTGACATGTGACTCTTTGCGCTCTTGTACCCGGCGGAAAAAGATCCACTTACACCTAATCCAGCAACACCGACGCTGGCGCTTAATCCAAAATTAACAGAAAAACAGTCCACTGATTTGTATTCATGCATACGTCCGATCCATTCAGCAAACACATCTACATGGCTTTGTTTTACAGGGAGTAACAACACGCTGTCTGGGATAAGATAACGACCATCTTCAGAGAGTTTACATTGATGATATGTATTTGCAAGAACTTGGCTTAACTCTGTGTTCTGAATATTATCCCATCCAATTCCAGGAAGAACTTCAAAAACGTCAACCTTCTTATCAATAATTTTCATACACTTTAACGCGCTACCATCCATGAAGTCGTCGTGTTTGAGTTCTTCGTTCATCAAAACAGTATCGCCTTCAGCACTGACATGTGCACATAGAAAACCCGTCATAACTATAATATAAATGATGGACATTTTAATTCTGAAGATAGTCCTACTCTTGTGTCGGTATCCAAAGGTTCCTATTTCACTTAAATTATGTTCATTTCCCTATTTGTCTGCCTTATTTATGGATTGCGATGTTTGTTTTATACCCCAAACTTTGACCTTTTGACGAACCAATGTGCGTGTGACAATTATAAATTCATAAATTGTTACTAGTCATACACTCATAAGTTTTAAGGGCATTTTGTTTAAATAAATAATGTTAAGGGAAACCACTTATATATACATGTCAGATATCGTTAATGTGACTAAGTATTGTTATAAGTTATGTTGAGCACCACTTAACGTGTCCCTGATTTCAGCTCTATAAATCGTTTATTATTTATTGAATTATGATAGCATCGATGGTTTTCCATTTAAAAGGTGACGTAAAAATAAAGTCATACTTTTACTGGTGGTGTGAAAAGTGTTGACGTCTGAATGCTCAAAGCAGTTTTTTATGATTATCTATTGCACTCAGTTTATCAATCTCAAACGTTTCGAGGATTAAACGCCTCCCTATCAAGGAGTTTGCTGTTTATTTTCTAAATCACATATTAATTTGCTTTTTTCTTACAACATGTTATCTACAAATTAATACAATTATAACATACTGTTTACAAGATACGTCTCGTCCAATATAGTTGTGCCAGCTGTTTACTCGTCCATTTGAATTCAGTATTGTACTCAACAATGTTTAAGTAATAGGAAGAGTATAAATCAGATTGCCGAGTGTTTTGATGTTCTTTCTCAACACGTTCCCTGTTCTCACACTATGAAACCCCGGGAAAAAGTAACCAATGAACGAGCATCTGAATATGATATTTCTGTCGCTTTCCCTTTCTCCGAAGTCACAATAAGTAAACCCCAGCAAAAATGAGCCAATCATTGGACATGCTCTAGAGTGCGGGTACCTAATACCTGCACTGCAGTTAACGCACTGTGCAATTAACTCGGACATAATTATTTTCAACTGCAAGATCCCCAAACTATGATACAATAACCTCATAATAATATCTGGGTTATTTTATATTGGGTCAAAAATATCATCCTTGCACTAAATTGTTAACGCCTTGATCTCCAACACTCATAAAATCTTATCATCTAACACCATAAATAACAACAGTTCCAATTTTACAATGTAAACATGAATTTATTTGAACAATTATGAAATATTGATTAATTTACAATATTGAAAAATACGATATTTCTTTGGATATTTGAACTTAGTTTCAAGACGTTTTTGGGAATTTTCATATAGACAAATAAGTAAAAATAAACTCTTCAATAGAATTTCTTTAAACTTGGTATGTTGTATAAGGATATGATAACAGAGACATTTTAAGCTAAACAGCTAAAAAAAATTGGAGTCACTGTCATCGTTTTTTAGTTATCTGCCCCTGAATTGGACTCTTTTGCTAAATTCAAAAGCAGATAATTCACAATGAAGGTAAACTATACCTTCTTTTTTATTTTCATGTAGCTTACATCCATTTGAGTCAATGTACAAAATTTCAAGACCAAATAAAATGCGGAATTACTTTTTCCGCCTTCTTTTCTAAACATGTGCCCTTAAAAAAGACTTATTTTTAAGAAATTTTAGGTCCCACTATTTGTGAATATTGCAAATGGTGTCTATGGTAAAATAAGAGTATCTGCTAACATTCAAATTTATACCAATATTATTGCATCTATTTAGCGTAGTATGTATAGGATATTGACCGAGTACGATGTCTTTTTTGTTAAAGTCGTTGACTTGAGATCACAGGTCCCTCACCACTGTAGGTTAGATCCTCACTCGGGTCGAAATCTTTCATGTGAGGAAGCCATCCAGCTGGCTTACGGAAGGTCGGTGGTTCTACCCAGGTGCCCGTTCGTGCCTGAAATAATGAGTGTACGGTCGCCAATATGGGCTTTCCGGCGGCGACCTTAAATAAACGCATAAAAAAACCCAAAAAAACGAGGTCTTTCTGTTTAGGAAAGACCTAGTCACGAATTTCATGTGACACCGAGAGCGCGTAGCGCTCGCAGTGTTTCATGAAATTTGTGACCAGGTCTTTCCTAAACAGAAAGATCGATGTAAGAGGCCGATATCCAACTTACACACCATAAAACTATATTGGCTTGAGCAATGGCTGATTCGGAACATTTGATGTAATGCGCAAATATTATTTTTATACAGGTAAGCTTTTATCAACGTTCTGCTTAAATGAAATATATATTTTGCATTTAACTTTGCTTTACCCCTTTTTAATAATAATCAAAAAAGCTTAATAAGAATTTGTCAATAATAAAGTGAATAGGTCTGTATTCGAAAGTATGTTGAAGTTTGAAAAATTATTTTGATAGAATTTCGTATCAGACAATGCAGATTCTAGGACATTTGTCCCCGGACAGTTGCACCTCGAACGTTTGCCTTCTTTTTTGCTGTTGTGACTTGTCACTTGTCATCTCGTGTATAGATTTTTGTATGTTAATGGAAACATAATAGTTCATTTAGTTATGGGTGCTATTTTGACTTTCACAAATTTGCACGAAATTTTATTTATCCATTATTTTTATTCAAAGATTTGATATAGGGATGCTGTGCATTCAATAAACATTATCTTGTTTAAAATATGTATCCCAATTTTGTAAGACAGGAACATTATGACAATCATTTACTGTAACATTTTATTTCAATTTTTAATTTTTGATTGCATTTCATGTTTTCTTTGTCTGCACTTTGGCAGGTCATTTTTTTTCACGTGTCTTTCATGACCGGGTCTGTCTGACTAGAACAGACCTGTGCACGTGCAAAAGATAGACCTCATAACGGACTTTCTTTTGTTAAAGCAGGTCTGTCCGAAAAATATAGACCTGTCAAAAACAATAGAGGAGGTGTGTAATGTTAATGAGAGTTTGTGTGGATGGTCTGACGTAATGACGTAATTCTTAAAGAATATGTTAATTTTTCACAAACATACAGAATGTATCAAACATAAATGGCTCTATATCACTTTTTGAGCAATTTTTATAGAGAACAACCAAAGAATTATAGTTACACAACCATTGGTCAAGCAGTTTAGGAGATCTTCTTCAGGTACAAATGATAACAAATGACCACTGACAACAATGATGGACATTTGGGTATCACAAAAGGTCACCTGGAGCATTAGCTAAAAAAAACACTATATCTCTGACACTTATAAATGTGCATTGCAAATGTCGTATTGTGGTAAAGGGAAATAACATACTAGTGCATTTTTAAAATTTAACCATCATGGAAGTCTTTTTGTTTACATCAATAGCAAGATCCTCTATAACAACAGCTTTCAAATTCAATCCTTACCTCACAAGCCATATATAATGAGATGCAGTGAATATCATGCAATTGTTACTCAGAAGAACTGTAAGGAATACCTATGTTTGGTAGTAATTATAAAATTCAACATGTGTCAAAGAATGCACTAATGGCATACTTTTAAAGCAGCATGCCTCCAGATTTATGAAAAATTTCATGAAAATTTTTAAAATGTTTTAAAACATAACATATTGACAAGTGATCAAAGAAAGTAATTTACGCATTATAAATGGCACTTCAAATGTAGGCACATAAAATCTACGAAAAATACCAAAAATAGGTCAGAATATGCAAAAATAGTCCTAACTGCATTCGTAAGGCAGTAGGCAGAAATATGGTAATGAAAATTACCTCTTGACTTCTGAATATTGTTACTTTACTTTAAATCTTAGAAAAGTTTTCTTCAGGATGATTTTCTTGAAATACTTTTGGCTCATCTGGAGGCATGCAGCTTTAAGTCAATGGTTGTGTAACAAGGGAGGCAACTTGAGTCCTGATGTAAACAGAGACTGTATACTTCACTCTCTTTGAAAGATAACTAACAAACTTTGAATAGATAACAAAGATAATTTATTTCCTTTTACTCCTTACAATAAAACTTCAATAAACAAGAATAACATTAAATATAATACAACATAATAACTGTACATTTATACATAATCATCATTTGAGCTGTGTCACGACAAAACCAACATAATGGGTTTGCGACCAGCATGGACCCAGACCAGCCTGCGCATCTGTTCACTATCAGTTTCTTTACTTGTTATAGCGTCTGTAAGCGAACAGCATGGATCCTGATCAGACTGCGCGGATGCGCAGGCTGATCTCGATCCATGCAAGTCGCAAACGCATTATGTTGGTTTTGTCATGACGCGGCTCATTTCTAGATTAACTAGTGTTTCCTAGAATAAATGATAGAAAGACACAACTCTTAAAAACAGAATTTTGTGTCTAAAAATAGATCATAAATCAGTTCAACTTGCAATAATAATCTTTCTAACAAGAGCATGTAAAGTAAACAAAATAATATAGAACTAATATTAGAAAATAAAAGAAACTGGCATATGACAGAACGGCTAATTTTATTCAATTGACCTAATACACATGTACAGGTATGTTGAGGATTTATGCAAAAGAGCTGTAACTCATATTACATAATTACAAATAATAGGAGTTATGTCAGTTTTGCACCGATCCATTGATATCTTTTTTTTTTACCATCCCACACTACTCAGAGAAAAAATGACTGAAAAGTGATCACAGCAAATATATTTGAAAATCTTTTAATTTGAGTGAAGTAAAATATTTCATTTATCAAAAAAAGAAACACTTGTCAGTAACTTTGACTAAAAAAATCTTGAATTTTGTTATCCTCCAGCTTGTTTCGAGATAAAATGTGACTGTATGTTCCAATTGTTATTGTCCCCCGCCTTTTCGAAGAAAAAAGGGGGATATAGAAATAGGCTCCGTCCGTCTGTCCGTCCGTCTGTCCGTCCGTCCGTCCGTCACACTTTCGTGTCCGGTCCATAACTTTGTCATTTATGAAAGGAATTTGAAATAACTTGGCACAAATGTTTATTATAATAAGACGATGTGTCATGCACAACAACCAGACCCCTACCTC